CAGAAAAATATTCGCTCTGCGGCAGGTTTTGAACCTGCGTCCCCAGTGGGCAGAGGAGAACCGTCGTTAGATACGACGTGCCTTAAACGACTCGGTCAAAATAAACTTTGCCGATCAAGAACAGACAGTGTATTTAAACGAAATCCTTCTCGTCATAGATTCTTCAAAATTATCAGCTCAGTTTCATAACCAAACATAAAGAAAATAATTTTCTAAAAAAAGTAATGGGAATTTTATTTATTAACCCGACAGATTTTTATCATGTTTTTCTTTTTAATCGTTATTACGTCATGCAAGGCAGTACAGTCACTAGTACACAAAGGGTTACAGGCTGTGGACGAATTAGGAATAGAAACATTAATAATGTGCGGAAAGAGAAAAGAGGAATCAGGATGACAGTAGATAGTGATTGACATTTCATTTAAAATTTTGAAGATTAAAGTTAGCAGGAAAGTATGGAGCCGAAAGGAAGTTCCACATGCGAGAAGTGCGAGAAAAGATACTGTTATCATAGAATTTACGGCTACATCTAGCCAGCTCAACTGTAAATTAAAGTGATCTTAATGCCAGTCTAGTACTGCGCTTAATTTTTTTAAAAATGTCTTGGTACTACAGAGAAGAGCAATATTTATTCTGTTGTGTACACAGAAATGTGGCACAAGGCCGAAAAGGGGGGTGGAGAAAAGGACGGTCTTCTTCTGTCTTAAAGATAACTTAGCTAGCCACAAACACTGACCCAATCATATATATAACAATATTCCTTACACCAAAACAACACATTCATACGTACCTTTCTTACTACATCTACCATAATACCTCACCGTCTCTATGAAAATACTAACTAGTCCCCATATTTACAATTCATTGTTTGGGATGGGGGGAATAAAACAACAATTCTAAAAACTAGCCCCAATGAGTATTTACAATATGAAAGCAAAAAACTATTTACAAGAAACTAAAGAAAATAATATTAGTAATAAAACCCCCACAATCACTAAATGTGGCAGAAATATCAGTTAACTGGCCGAAATCAATGCGGGACTATAATAATATAAAACATTCATTCATCCCAAACACTCACACTGACTCGCACTCATTCAAACACAACAACAAATAAGAAAACATTCACGCGAAACGAAAGGCGCCCCGCATCCACCAGCGAACTGACATCACTGACTACCTAAAGAGGGAGGGGATGGGGAATTAAACTTAAGAAAAATAGGGACAGAAATAAAAGGGGGCCAATGAGCATACATACCCTAGCTAAGTTAACTGAAAGAAAAAGAAATTAAAGCATCATAAACTAAACCTAACCTAGCCTAGTTTCGGGATGGGTTGCACAAGTTCAACCCAGGAAGATCAATATCCTGATGCCTAAGCGGCATCAAAGTGCCATTCCAGGTACTATAAAGAAGAGCTCATCCGAACAATTGCCATGAAAGTATTTATAGAAATGACACAGTGAGGCAGCCATACAGCGATGGGAAAGTGACTACACGCTGAAATGCCAGGTCAGGACCAATAATAATGCTGATTCTTCTTTGGATTTTATCAAGGAGCTCAAGGTAAATAGCAGGGCAATATTCAAGCATCGAAGAATTGTAGGCTTATAGATATGTGAGATAAATTCTGGAGGGAAAATTGTCTCGTACGGCAAAGTGAACCAACCTTCTTAGCAGCTGATCTGGCAATTGATTAATGATAGTCTTTCCACTTCATGTCAACTGAGAACGTTAGCAACGAGTCACTTTCCTGGAGTTTCGCATTAGCCATGATGTTAGAAGGCAGAGCAGGCTCTCTCAGATGATTAATGGAGAGAAATTTAGTTTTGGATTTAGAAATAATAAAATTATTCTATCTTTATTGGACACCTTAATTCGGCATACTTTTTCTTTGTATACGCAGGCGATATCCGTAGTTTGTTTACATTTATTTTGCGCGCAATTTTATTTTCTTTTAAAATCACAATTATTTATGATTCCTTCACAGAAAGTCACTCTTAAAAGTCATTTAGGGAACCCGAATTATGTAATATTTCGAATACGTCACTTAAGTTTTAATTAAGGTTTAATTAAACGGTATCAATTGCAATTACAAGGAAAAGCGAAATTAAACCTTAAATAATAAAGAATTGTTTTTCACTCTGTTCGATATTTAAAGTTAGCTTTAAATGAGTTATTTATTTAATTTTTAATCGCGTGTAACTGCAGTAATTATTACCTATTACTTCAGGATGTTTATGATTCACCGGACGGACGGACAGACGGGCACACGTTCACTGCGCTTTATTTATATAGATAGATGTTCTGAGATAAACAAGATAACGATCGCTCTAAAGCTTGTAACGTTAAAAATATGTTTCGTTATAACGTTACATTTAGGGGAACATGAGGAAGATATTATAACGTAAACTCTTCATCTAAGTTAGTGATTAAAAAAATAGGAAGAAAATGTTCTACATTCTATACATATTATTAAGCAAAAGAAAAGCTGTTTTCATTATTCGAACTATTGTCCTCATCTTTGTGGCTATATTTATTACAATGTTTCGGCCGTTGTATGCTCCGGCCTTCTTCAGGTGGTCGGAATGTCGAACTTAAACCTTTATTTCGCTCACTGGGGTAGACTGTTCTAGTTCCACGTGCCATGTCTAATGGATGTCAGTTATCAGTTATCTCCCATTTAATTCCCCTCTCCAAGTTCTCCACCGCCTTAACCAGGTATTGAACTCACACTCTTTGGGTCCTGTCACTGGATCTAACTAACGCGTTTATCCACTGTGCCATGTGCCCTTGAGATACTGAAAGAAAAGCTTTCTGGCGTTATTTGACCAGTGCGAAAATTTTCATCTACAACACTTTGCAAAATTAGCAGAACGTTTTGACAACGTTATGGACGAGCGGTCTGTTTGGCGTTAGGAATAATAGTTGATTGAAAAGTTACAATAATGTCGCCACAACGTCACATATTCCCCAACCAAAACACAAACTGTCTACAAAGTTTCAAGAACGTTCGCTGTTAGGTAGATGATAGGAAAGACGATCGGAAGGCTATAACTGCCTTTTATTTTTACTCTTCTTAAGTAAAAAAGTTAAACTATTTACATTATTCGGACTATTTTCTTTATCTTTGTCGCCATATTTATTACAACGTTTCAGCCGTTGTACATCCGGGCCTTCTTCAGGTGGTTGGAATGTCGAACTGAACCCTTTATTTCGCTCACTGGGATAGACTGTTCTAGTTCCACGTGCCATGTCTAATGGATGTCAGTTATCGTTTCCCCTCTCCAAGTTCTCCACCGGCTTACCCAGGTATTAAACTCACACTCTTTGGGTACTGTCACTGGATCTAACTAACGCCGTTATCCACTGTGCCATGTGTCCTTAAGCACATATGACGACAAAGTTGAGGACAATAGTGTACATAATACCTCATATCAGAAATATAGACAGATAAAAAAGTTAATGTTCAAAATCTTAAAGAATGTGGACAGGGATTATATTGAAAGTGCTAGATCTTTGCACGCAGTTAATTCCAGAGAAATTTAATTGTCAGTTAAACTCTTATACTTTTAAAGGGTAGCAAACATAAACACACATGGCTATTAAAAAAAGAAAACCCCAGCAGTAAATGGATTGTGTAATATATGGATATAGAAATCAATAGTACGCTCTGATCTATGATTGCTGTCATATCTGGTATGGTAATTCTGCAATGTATCTGCAATGCTATCGATCCTGATCTGGCAACTTGACTTCAGCCACTTTCCCATCGCCGTCACGATTATTCACTATGACTTTCCATGAAATATGTTCATGGTAATTGTTCTAATGAACTTTCTTCTTTGTTACCTCGACTTTAATAATTTAAGCGCAGTACTACATTGGCAGTTAGGTCTCCTTATTTTACAGCTGAAATTGCTAGATGTAACCGTAAGTTCTATTCTATCAGTTTCTTCTCTCTCACTTTTCGCTTGCGTAACACTTTTGTTACTTTTCGGTTAAAAACTTTAAATGCAATATCAATTATTATCTTTCATTTTTGTAATTCTTGTTCTTTTATTGTTCTCGCTCCTTAATAATGTTGTTATTTATTTTTCTCATATTCTTCCACATTGCATCTTAGTGTCTTTATTGTCTTCATTTTGATGAAATGATAAAAAAAAACTGCAAGGAAACTTATATCAAGCGATTTTTAGGCCATGTGTCACTATTCATTTTGTAGTGTCTGCATCTAAATACTAAACCAGAGAACTGGAAAGAGTTGTTTACACCCCTCCCCTACTTCCCAATGTAGCCTCATTTCAATTCTCCCTTATTTTTCTTAATCAGATGAATGATCAATACTAATTTTGGAAGAGCGTATTCTTTGAAGTAATGCATCTTCTAATATTTCTGATTCTCTATGAAGAGTTCTGTGGTAGTTAAGTCATTTTATTCGTGCTTGTCAACAGCATGTTTTACGATGTGCCCAATGCATATTCGTTATGATTTAATAATCTAAATTTAAAAAGCTTTTTTAATTTCTTTTGCTTTTTATGATTTTGTTTTGCGCTTTCTTTTTTTTTCTTTTTTCATTCGATTTTATTTTTCTCTTTTCATTTCCTGATACTCTCATTTTCTCCTTTTCTTTTACATTCCCTATTCTTCTTTCTCTTTCGCCAGTTTCTTTCTCTCTCTCTCTCTCTCTCTCTCTCTCTCTCTCTCTCTCTCTCTCTCTATTTTAATTTAAGTTTCTCTTCTTTCTTTTTCTCTCTTTCATCTTCCATGCCTTCTTTACAACCTTTTAGTATGTCATTCTTTAACTCTCGATTTCTTCTTTCCTTCTTTTGTTTCCTTGACTCGTTCTCTTTCTTTTTTCCTCTCTTTCAGTTTCTTTTTCTTTTCTTTCTTTCCATTTATTCATAACATATCTTTTTCTTCTTTTTCTTTTTATTTCCTGTCTTTTTTCTTTTATGATTTCTTGCGTTTTCGTCATTCTTTTTTGGTCGTTTATTTCTTATGTTTAAACATGATCTTTCTTCGCCCGTCCCTTCTTGCTTTTTTTCTTTCTTCCTTTCTTTCTTCTTTCTTTTTTCTTTCTTTCTTTCTTTCTTTCTTTTACATCTTTACTTTCTTCCTTTTATTCTTAAGAATAATTTTCTTTTCTTTTACTTTCTTTATTTTTTGGTTCACAATTTCTTTTTCACTTTTTCTTTTATGTTTAGTTCACTTTTTTAGCTTCTTTCTTTCATCTTTCCTTCTTTCTCTTCTTTTCTTTCAATTTCTTTTTTTCCTCCGTCTTCTTCATCGAATTCCCCTTTTTTCCTTCTTTCTATATTTCATCCCTTCTTTCCTTCCTTATTTTTCTCCTATTCTCTCATTTTCGTGTTCATTTATTTCGATTTTATCATTCTAATACATGTCCCTTTTGTCTTTTCTTCATTGTTGTTTTTTGTTCTTTTTACCTCCTCCTCCTCCTCCTCTTTCGTGTTTCTCTCTTTCTGTTTTTTTTCTCTAAATTTCAACTTTCTTTCGTTTTTTTCTCTTAATTTCGACTTACTTCCTTTTTTTCTTTTCTCTCTCCCTCTCTGTTAATCACTTCTATCTTTTAAGAAAATCTTTCTTTCATTTTCTGATTTTTTTCTTTCTCTTCTACTTTTTATTGTCACTAACATTTATTTCGTCATCCATAATTTTCATTGTTTTTTTTTTCTTCCATTTAGTTCCATATGCTTTATCCTTTTCCATCCTCTTTCATATCTTTCTTTCTTTCTTTCTTTTTTCTTTAGCCTTCCTAAGTCTTCTTTACTTTTCCTTCCTTACTCTTTCTTTTGTCTTCATAACGCTTTCTTTCTTTCTTTCTTTCTTTCTTTCTTTCTTTATAACTTTTTCTTTCTTTCCCTTTCGCTCCTTACTCTTTCTTTTGTCTTCATAACGCTTTAATTTTACTTTCTTTCTTTCTTTCTTTCTTTCTTTCTTTATAACTTTTTCTTTCTTTGCCTTTCGCTCCTTACTCTTTCTTTTGTCTTCATAACGCTTTAATTTTACATTCTTTCTTTCTTTCTTTCTTTCTTTCTTTCTTTCTTTCTTTCTTTTTTCTTATAACTTTTTCTTTCTTTCCCTTTCGCTCCTTACTCTTTCTTTTGTCTTCATACGCTTTCATTTTTCTTTCTTTCTTTCTTTCTTTCTTTCTTTCTTTCTTTCTTTATAACTTTTTCTTTCGTTACCTTTCGCTCCTTACTCTTTCTTTTGTCTTCATAACGCTTTAATTTTACTTTCTTTCTTTCTTTCTTCTTTTTTCTTTCTTTCTTTAAAACATTTTTCTTTCTTTACTTTTCCTTCTTTACTCTTTTTTGTCTTCATGACCCTTTCGTTTTTTCTTTCTTCCTTTCTTTCATTATAACTTTTTCTTTCTTTACTTTTCCTTCCTTACTCTTTGTTTTGTTTTCATAACACTTTCCTTTCTTTCTTTCTTTACTTTTCCTTCCTTACTTCTTCTTTTGTCTTCATAACACTTTCTTTCTTTCTTTCTCTCTTTCTTTCTTTCTTTGTAACTTTTTCTTTCTTTATTTTCCTTCCTTAGTCTTTGTTTCATATTCATAATACTTCCCTTTCTTTCTTTCTTTCTTTTCATTCTAAAATATTTCATCATATTTTCTCTTTTCAATAACCTTATTTCTATTGTTATATTTTCCCCAAATCCCTCTTCCCATCAACAAATTTTCATTTTTTTTATTTTCTGTTTCATTCCACACCTTGTCTATTTTTTGTAAAAAAAAAAATTGGTCTCATTCACTCATTTTTTTTTATTGTGTTAGCATTATTTCATTTCTTTCACTAATACTCGCAATTTCAAAACGATCTCATTCTCCATGTTAATTTGTCTTTTTCTTATCCTTCTTTGTTTCGTCCCTTTTCTTTCATTCATTCAGTCATTCATTCGTTCATTCATTATTGAAACTATTTATTTTTTCACAACTCATTCATCGCTTTTTATGACCATTGTCACACAAAACTTAATTCCGTGCTTCATTGAAGGTTAAAAAACCCACATCGTTTCAAAGAACCTTAATAGATGATATGAAGGCTTCACTGATGAATACATTTTTTAACCGCCTTAGTTATCCTCAGATAGTCGATGGGAAACTAATGCATAGAGAGATGCACACGCACGAAGGAGAGAGAAAAAAATCAGCTATACTAACAATTGTATAAATCCGTGCAGTGAAGATATGGGAACAAAGCGAGAAGTAACCCACTCATTCTCTCTCCAATGCAAATAAAATGCAGACAGCTTCATTTGAAGAAAACCAAGCAGAAAAGAATGAGTAGTAAAAAAATAAAATTTGAGAAAGGAACAGTGAAGATTCGCAGAAAAAGGAAGTGAAGAATAAGGCGATTTTGTCTCATTGAAATAATTTCTTGGTTGTTCATCTTGTTTTCGATACAATTTGCGGAAAGCGTTGTCGTCTGCTTTTCCGTCTTCTAATGGCACACAGTAATGGCCGCCGATCGCTCAACATCCGTTTATTGGGAGAGTCATACGGCAGCTTTGCCATTTCTGCGGCGAAAATAGCAAGAATTAGGAAAAGAGAAAATTCAAATTGGAAACGAGGGGAGAGGGAGGTGAACGAAGACAAAGAGATAAAAAATAAAAATTCATTTATCATTAATGCAGCTATTTTATTAGTTGTTGTTGTGCTTCTTTTTGGATGTGTTCGTTCATATTCCTTTGTATTTTCTCCCTTCTTTCTCGTAACTTTTTTGATTTCGTTTCTTCATTTTTTTTTTTTTTTTTACTCCGGAGGGAAAGAGGCGAACGCAAAGAGAACAAAAAGAAGACAGATTTGCTATAAATTGGTTAAATGATTATGAAAATCAATATTTTTGCCTCATTAATGTGATTACATTGATGAGTTGTGGCCGAGCTATTAGTTTGGAGTTGCCGGCTCTGTTGATGTAGTGTGATAGCAAGCGTTCGCCATTACAAAGAGCGATGGACGCGGAAAGTAGGTTGCTTGGACGCAGGAAGCAATATGGCGGCGTTGTGAGTAGTGGGCCGAGGAAGGAATGGACATTATAAGTGATTATTGTGAGAGGAAAAGAGGGAGGAAAAGTCGGAGTTGGGGCTGAATATAGAGAAGAGAAAACTTGAAATGATGGCGTCGATTTGGGATGAAGAATTGGCTTTTGTAATTTTCTAGAAAAATTTAACTGCATTTTCCTTAGTTGTATTCCTCTAAGCGGCAATTTTTTATTCGATTTATTTTGTTTGTTTACGTTTTCCGCATTTGGATACTGTTTTAATCATCAACATAATCGTTATTTTTCTATTCTCGTTGCAGTAGGCCAGAGAGACGTGCCAGCTGGTGGTACTAGCCATAATATTCCTACGAATATTATTGAAATGTAAAGAAATGTTCATACGTTTTTTCATTATTGTTATTCAAGTGGTTATTATGATACAGTCGATGGATATGATTATCATTTTGTTACTAATTTACTATATTTTGTTTTAATTCAATATCATCTGTTTTTTTTTCTTTTCTTTTTTTCTTCATTTGCGATGTTTTATCTTATTGTTGCTTCAGGTATAAACCAGACCTATTTTTACCATTTTGACTTAAAGATAAACTACGTGTACCAATTTAATTTTTGTTTCCATATTAAAGTTGGACCTATGCCTGCATTTCTTTACACTAGAACAAAATCCGAACTTCGTCTACCTTCTTTTATTCTAGTATCAACCAAACTTACGCCTACACTTTGGACTCTAGTGTAAAACCGGACCTATCTCTACTTTTGTAGTTCTTGTGTAAACCGGAAGTATGTCTTCCTTTTGAACTCAAATGAAAACCAGAACTGGCTGCATTTCTGGTTCAATGAAACTGGATCAATGTGTCCATTTTTTATTTTTGTATCAACCAGAGATATATCTATCAACTATTTGAATTATTTTTTAATTAAGGTGCAAACTCTACCTATGTCTTTTATTCTAGGACATATATATCTACTATTTGTTTTTTTGATTCAGGAGCAAACTGAATATATATGAACCTTTTTATTCTAGTATAAACCGGACACACACACACACATATATATATATATATATATATATATATATATATATATATATCTGCCAATTGAATTTTTTTTCATTCAGGTGTAAATTGGACCTATGTCTACCTTTTTAACACTAATGTGAACCGGTCCAATTTATACCCCTATTCTTGTCATCTAACGAAAGTTAATGTATTATTAATTAACCGACTAACTTTTGCTGGTTTATTAGTATTGCTCTTAAGATATATTCGAAGTATTTTCATTTTCTTATAAAAAATCTTTTGTTAAGCTTATTTCATTAATACATCTATAATCTATCTATGATATACACGCACACACGCACACATACACACACACACAAATATATATATATATATATTTCATTAAAAACGACACTCAACTTATTGTGATTAAGCTAATGTAAAGAAACGATTAAGAATAATGGAAGCCTTAATGATAAAAACGAACAACAATCGGTCTTCAAAGATACCTGAAAACTACAGGAGGCAGAGGATTAGTTCAACTAGAACTGTCTGACAAAACCACAAAAAACTGGTATTCAAAGATAACTGAAAACTACAGAAGACTGGATGTTGATCTTGATCCGTGTCAAAGAATATAAAAGAAATAATAAGTTTTATTCAGTAATAAAGAAAACCAACAAATTCAAAAGGGAATTTCAAGTGGGTGATGAAGTGCAACTGAACCATAATGCACCTACTGCAGCGGTAAAGAGCCTAAAAAAGAAAGCAAAAACAATTACAATGCAACAAATGCAGAAATGATGGTAAGAGAGGCCTTTTCATACCAAACAAGCTAATTTAGACAAACCCGGTAACCATAAGTGGTTACATAATGCAGCTTAAAAGCTGAAATCGATGACTTTACTCTTGCTACACAATTTTTGCTAACTAGAAATTACCAAGCGCACATATAGAAAACTTGTGTTAGCCCAAAATGCAGATTCTGTTAAAATATCCAGAAACAAATCATCTTGTATCAGGTTGCACAGTGTTAGCACCCACTGATTATAAAACTCGTCATGATCGAGTGGGCCAATATCTGCACTGGAAAATATGTAACTTTTACGGGAAGGAAACTGCAAGAAATTGGAACATGGCCCAGATTCGGTTACAGTGATAAGATCTATAATAATTTTATGGGACTTTAAAATACGCACAGAGAGAACAATCAAAGCTAATAGGCCAGACCTCGTGATCAAAGATCACAAGAACAGAAAGTACTTTCTTATTGACAAGGCAGATCCTGCAAATTGCAATGAAGCTTTGAAGATCTTCAAAAACTATTAAAATACAAGGATCTTGAAGTGGAAAAATAAAAAATAAATGTACCTTATGTGGACATCAATAATTCAGGTTGTAGTTGGAGCCCTCGGATTAATTGGGAAAAGGTCCGATAGGTTCACTGAAGGGATTCCTGGTAGTCCATGCTTTAAAGAAATACAAAAAATTGAACTCACACGTTATGAAGATCTTTATCTATGTAAAATGTGTGGGATCTTTGTTTGGGGAGGGTGTTACAGAAAATGTCTTGAAGCCATTTCTGATGTTAGGTCTCTGGTTGGGACCCGAAGAAAATGTGTATACAACAGAAATCAAAAATAATAATAATAATAATAATAATAATAATAATAATAGCTGAAGCTTTGGGTCTGATAAAGAAAAGAACTCAACAAGAAATCAATAAAATCTCTGGTAACCCCATCTCTCCAGGAAATAAAAAAAATAGTTCTAATAAGCACAGGCCATGTCCTGCGAAGATCGTTGTCCATTTAAATTTTTTGTTAATGGCGGTCTTTTGTTTAATTAAGTGGAAACAACAAAGAAATCTCATCCTTCGCTCGCCCGAGGC